TTTATCAATTTTTCGGTATTTTACTTTTGAGATTTTTCAGTACTTCGATTCTTCAATTTTTCAATTTTTCGCTTTTTCCATTTTACAATTTCTCCATTTTTAAAATTTTTCGATTTTTCAGTTTTTCAATTTTTTGATGTTTCGATTTTCCAATTTTTTATTTTTTCGATATTTTATTTTTTCAATTTTTAAAAGTTGAGATTTTTCGATTTCTCGATCTTTCAATTTTTCAGCTCATCCATATTTCTATTTACAATTTTTCGAATTTTTATATTTTTTTGACGTTTCGATGTCACGACGGGTGGGCGGGGTTAGTACCTGCTAAATAAGATCGATTTTTGCAAATGACATACCTTCCAAGAAAAGAGAGGGTGGGTGGGCGGGGCTAGTACCTGCTACGATAACTCTTCAAATTTTCGATTTCTCGATTTTTTTTATTTTCTACTTTCTCAATTGTTCCATGTTTGGTGATTAAATTTTTCCACTTCAACTTTTCGATTTTTAAATTATTCAATTTTTCAGTTTTTGACGTTTCTAAATTTTCAATTTTTGATTTCTTAATTTCGCGATTGATGGATTTTTTGATTTTCTCATTTCAGTTTTTCAATTCTCCAATTTTTCGATTTTTCAGCTTCTTGGATTTTCAGAATTTCGATTTTTTAAATTTTCTACTTTTCGACTTCGATTTCCCGATTTTTGAATATTTCGATGTTTCCGTTTGGCATTTTCAATTTTTCGATTGTTCAATTTTTTTTCAATTTTAATTTAGGGATTTTTCAATGTATCGATTCTTAATTTCTCGATTTTTCAAATTTTCGATTTTCTAAATTTTCTTATGTTTCAGTTTTACGATTTCTCAATATTTCCCTGTTATAGTTTTGGGATTTTTCAATTTTCGATTCTTCAATTTTTCTTCTAATTATCAATTTTTCGATATTTTACTTTTAAGATTTTTCACTAGTTCGATTCTTCAATTTCTCAATTTGTCGACTTTTACAATTTCTCCATTTTTTAACTTTTTCGATTTTTCAGTTTTTCAATTCTGACATTTTAGATTTTTTTGTTTTTAAATTTTTTGATGTTTCGATTTTCCAATTTTTCAGTTTTTGGATATTTTATTTTTTCAATTTTTAAAAGTTTAGATTTTTCGATTTCTCGGTCTTTCAATTTTTCAGTTCTTCCAGATTTCTATCTACAATTTTTCGAATTTTTATATTTTTTTTGATGTTTCAATGTCACGACGGGTGGACGGGGTTAGTACCTGCTAAAATAAGATCGATTTTGTTAAATGACATACCTTCCAAGAAAGAGAGTGTGGGTGGGCGGGGCTAGTACCTGCTACGATAAGAGAGATTTTGGCAAATGAGATACCCTGTAAGAAAAGAGAGGGTGGGTGGGCGGGGCTAGTACCTGCTAAGATAAGACTACTTTTGGCGAATGAAATACCTTCTAAGCAAATAGAGGGCAGGTGGGCGGGGCAAGTACCTGCTAAGGTAAGACTGATTGTTCTGGGTGTTCTACGTCATTTGCCAAAATCGGTCTTATTTTAGCAGCTACTGGCCCCGCCCACCCGCCCTCTCTTTTCTTAGAGGGTAGATCATTTGCCAAAATCGATACTACTTATCCCGTCTACCTGCCCTCTATTTTCTTAGAGAGATTTCAGTAGCCAAAATCAGTCTCATTCTAACAGGTACTAGCCCCGCCCACCCACCCTCTCGTTTCTTGGAAGGTATGTCATTTGCCAAAATCACTCTTATTGTAGTAGGTACCAGCCCCGCCCACCCACCCTCTCTTTTCTTAGAGGGTAGATCATTTGCCAAAATCGATACTACTAATCTGCCAACCCCGCCCACCCGTCGTGACATCGCGAACATCAAAAAATATAAAAATTCAAAAATTGTAAATAGAAATATGGAACAATCGAAAAATTGAAAAATTTCAATTCAAAAAATTCAAAAATCGAATAAATGAAAAAGTTTTAGAATCTAATAAAAAAAGTGGGAAAATTCAACAATTGAAGAATTGAAAAATTTCACATTGAAAAAAAAGAAAAATGATGAAATCAGAATATTGAAAAACCGAAAAAATGAATAAATAAAGAAAATAAAAAATTGAAAACTTGAGAAACTGAAATCGAAAAATTACAAAATCTAAAAATTGGAATGTCAAAAAGTTGGAAAATCGAAAAACTGAAAAGTTTAGAAGAGTGAAAGAATTACATATTCTAAAATTGAATTAAATCGCAAAATTCAAGAAATGAAATAATGAAAATGAAAAAATTAACAATTATAAAATCGGATCATAAAAAATCGAAAATTGGAAGAAAGTAGAAAATGAACAATCGAAAAATTGAAAAATTTTAAATCGAAAAATTGCAAAATCGAATAAATAAGAGTTTTAGAATCTAATAAAAAAAGTGGGAATTCACCAATTGAAGAATTGAAAAATTTCATTTTGAAAAAAATGAAAAATTATGAAATCAGAATATTGAAAAACGGAAAAAATGAATAAATAAACAAAATAAAAAATTGAAAACTCGAGAAACTCAAATCGAAACACTGAAAAATTTAGAAAACTGGAAAAATTATATATCCTAAAATTGAAATAAATCGAAAAATTCAAAAAATGAATGATTGAAAATGAAAAAATGAAAAATTATAAAATCGGAGCATGAAAAATCGAAAAATGGAATTCCGTGCAGTATTTTCGCTTTTTACAGAGTGTAACGGCAAGGTAATTTTAAAAATGTTTGCAAAAACTTATAACAATAATAAAAAAAATTTGTCGAAGGTTATTTCAAGAGAACTTCCCTCGCCCCTGAAGTCCAGCCAAATAAATCCCACTTCTCTGAGAAATTATCACTTTTTTGCGCTTTTTGTTTTCTGATAAGCTCTATTTTTCTTCAGTTTTCTATTTTTTTTGTTGCTCCATTTTTTCGAGTTTTGAAGTTTACATTTAATTTTTCAACTTTTAAATTCAATTTTTAGATTTTGCAATTTTTCGACTTGAGTTTCTTCATTCATTTTCAATTTTTCAATGTTCCTATTTTATAATTTTTTGTTTTTTCAGTTTCACTTTTTTTATTTCTCGTTTCGTCAGTTTTTCAATTTGCATTTTTTCGGTTTATTTTTTTTTCTTTAGTTTTACGATATCTCTTCGAGTTTTCATTTTTAAATTTTCCAGTTTTCCGATTTGCCAACTTTTGGACGTTTCAATTTTTAAATTTGAAATTTCACGAATTTTCAATTTTAATTTTTCAATTTTTAGATTTTTTAGTTTTTCATTTCTTCAGTTTTTCGAGAAAAGCGAGAAAGTTTTTATACATGATATGGAACACCCAGAACAATTAGTCTTACCTTAGCAGGTACTAGCCCCGCCCACCCGCCCTCTGTATTCTTAGAAAGATTTCAGTAGCCAAAATCAGTCTCATTCTAGTAGGTAGTAACCCCGCCCACCCACCCTCTTTTTTCTTAGAGGGTATGTCATTTGTCAAAATCAGTCTTATCCTAGTTAGTAGCTGCTAAGATAAAACTAATTTTGGTAAATGACATAGCCCCTAAGAACAGAGAGGGTGGGTGGGCGGGCGGGGATAGTACCTGGTAAGATAAGGCTGATTTTGGCAAATGACATAGCCTCTAAGAAAAGAGAGGGTGGGCGGGTGGGGCAAGTTCTTGCTAAGTTAAGATTGATTTTTAGCAAATGACATACCTTCCAAGGAAAGAGACGGTGGGTGGGCGGGGCTAGTACCTGCTACGATAAGTGATTTTGTCAAATGACGTATCTTCCAAGAAAAGAGAGGGTGGGTGGGCGGGGCTAGTACCTGCTACGATAAGAGTCATTTTGGCAAATGACATACCTTCCAAGAAAAGAGAGGGTGGGTGGGCGGGGCTAGTACATGCTACCATAAGAGTGATTTTGGCAAATGACGTACCTTCCAAGAAAAGAGAGGGTGAGTGGGCGGGGCTAGTACCTGCTACGATAAGAGTGATTTTGGCAAATGACATACCTTCCAAGAAAAGAGAGGGTGGGTGGGCGGGGCTAGTACCTGCTACGGTAAGAGTGATTTTGGCAAATGACATACCTTCCAAGAAAAGAGAGGGTGGGTGGGCGGGGCTAGTACCTGCTACGATAAGAGTGATTTTGGCAAATCACATATTCTCTAAGAAAGTAGAGGTGGGCGGGTGTGGCTAGTACCTGCTAATACATATAAGACTGATTTTAGCAAATGGCGTATCCTTTAAGAAATTTAAATAAATTATTATAAGAAAAAACACTAGAGGCTCCAAAGCATTTTCAAATTCTTTCCAAACAGGAATAAGGTCCCAAAATTAACTCAAAAACAGGTAGGTTAGAATTTTTTAAAATAGAACACCAAACTCCTCCAAAATAGTTTTAAATAATTTACAAAAAAAATCTCCATAGGTTCACAAAATAATACAGAATATACTATGGGTGCTCCAGAGTTTCCCGAATTAAAATAAAAACACTGCGACACTCAAGACTTTTTCAAAATCATAAAAAATAAAACACTGTTAAACCTAGCAAAAGAACCAATTTTAAATTCTTTATAACTCTTCCAAAATGTGAGAAGGAATTTTTTTACTATTTTTCCCAGACTCACCCGTTAAGAGCGTAGCGGGGAGTAAATCGCCATTTTCCAGACACCCGGTATATAAAATTCAGATTTAAAAAAAAAATAGGCAACTAGATATACTGGTACAGCAAGTCATTGAGTGTGAACGAAACACGAAGATGGGAGATGAAGAAAGGTTTTAAAAACAGTATGAAAACAAGATAAAATATCAGGAAAACAAACAGGTAAAAATACAGTTTTTATAAAAACTTGTCAAAAAGAAAAAATGCAAGACCAAATGGAAAAAACTAGAAAAGAAGGTAAAGTAGAAACCGGAAAAAGATATATGATGGGGAGAGAATACAAAAGAAGACAAAAAACAGAGCTTCATCTAAGTTAAACTTTTTCTTTGACTTGTATATTCTAGGTGACCCCACACTCCACCACATTCTAGTCGAAGACCAACCCCATGGACCTCCGTAGTTTCGCGTCTTCCGATCTCATCCAAAGCCTCAGATGTTTCATCTGCCACAGCTACCTTTCGTACTTCCCCATATCAATCTGCTCCAACAGCCAGAGTATATGTGGCCGCTGCTCCGTCCCAGACGGCATGTTGGCCTTCCAAAACGAAGCCCTCGAAAGCGTCTGTCTCTACCTAAATTTCCCCTGTTGTTACAAAGCACAAGGTTGCCTGGAAGAACTCTCGCCTCTGGACATCCCCGACCACGAACATACTTGTCCTTTCAAAATCGTCGCTTGTGTAGTAAAGAAACCGCACCCTTGCGGCTGGTTAGGCTCTCTTCCGACCTTGGTCCGGCACTGCCAAAGCGCCCACCCCGAAGCCTTCATCGAGACGGGCTCCGAGTTCGAGCTTAACCTGTCCTGTTGCGAGGAACGCGAGTACGTCGTGGAATACAACGACAGTTTTGTGTTATTCACCAAAAAGTACAACTGTGAGAGTAAAGTGTTGGAATTCGCTGTGTACAGCAGTGGGTACACGAAAGATTTCAACGGAGGGATGTGCCAGTTGAGGGTGACTTGTGGAAACACTACCATAACCCACGATTTCGATACCAGCAGCGACGAGAAAATATACTCAGTGATGTGTCTTCCTTTTCTCAAAGACGACGACGACGATCCGTCGCTGTTTTTAGCCAAATTGAGAATAGGCGATGGGGGTTTGGATAGGGAGCGGAGCAACATCGCAGATCGTGTAGGTTTCACTTGTATATATTGTTCGAACCTCGCTCTTCCACCCATTTACCGACGAACTTGCGACATGTCCGTGATTTGTTCGTCGTGTGGAGGAGCCGGACGTCGCTGCCCTGTTTGCAATATCCACAAAAGAGCCCGCGACCGCATTTTAGAGCAGTTCGTGGTTTTAGAAAACTACCCTTGTATGTACCGGAGGGACGGCTGCAGATACGTTTCCACTCACACCGAAATGGTCCGTCACCAAAAATTCTGCCACTACGAAACCACGGAGTGTCCCATTTTTAATATTTCGTGCGAGTGGAGCGGTACGTTCAAAGATGTGAACGACCACGTTGTTCGCGAACATTCAGAGTTCATGGTTGGTTTAGGGACCAAAGTGGAGGTTTCGCTGCGGGAGGATGGTTTTCACCAAGGAGTACTCAGGTTTGGCGAACTTTTGTTTAAGACGGTTTGTGAAGTGAACGAGAAGAGACTTATGTGGGTTGTTCGACCGTTTGTGCCCACGGCGCAGCAGTTTAATTATGAAATTAGCGTTTTTGATGCCGAAGATGGTAGTTTTCTGGCTGCGATGAGGCAGATTTGTTTTGGGTGCGATCACTCTGATGAAGATCTGGCGAAGAGATACGCTAGTTATTTTTTTGTAGAACAGTTGGTACGTCTGAAGCCAAACGGAATAGAGAGTAGGGGAGCGATCAAGTTTAGCGTGGAGATTTTCAAGCGTTGATTGTATATATTCACTATTTTGTATTTTCGAAATTTTTATAATAAAAATAATGTCATTGCTTTTCCAATTAATTACTACTAAACGTAAGATAAGTCCATCGCGTCATCCCCATCAGCCATGGAACGACCGGATCTTCAAATTTTACAGTAGTAAGTGTTATTTAAATTTTATAAAATTAACGTACTCCTCCATTTGTGGTCTATGAATCCGTGTTCAGTTTTTGGGTATCCAGATTTAAAAAAAATGTCAAAGTTGTCTAACAACATTTTACAATTTAACTTTAAAAATGAAAAATTATGATAAATCGTTCATCAAAATTTATCCGTTCATACCCCCCAAGGAATTGATGATGTCATCTTAATATTTTGCCGAATTTTATTTAAATATTAAAAAATGTGTATATGAAAAAAAAACTAAAAATTTCGAATTCCGAAAAAACCGATATGCGCTTACATATGTATACAAGTGAAGCTAATATAAAACATGTAAAAGTAAGATATTACTGAACTTGTGGTTTATGAATCCATCTTGCATTTTTTATCCTAGGCATCGAGATTTTTGGAAAATGTTTGGAATGTTTGATTTTCCAGCTTTTCGATTTTTGATTTCTGTTTTTTAATTCTCGAATTTTTCAGTTTCTCGATTTTCAATATTTACATATTTCAGTGTTAGGATTTTTCAGTTTTCCAATCTTAAATTTCTCGACTGTTCGAATTTTCAATTTCTGATGTTTCTAAATTTTTAATTTTTTGATTTCTTAATTTCGCGATTAATTGATTTTTTTATTGTCCCCATTTCTCGATTTTTTGAGTTTGAAATATTGCGAGTTTTCAGTTTTTCAATTCTCCAATTTTCGATTCGTGGATTTTTAGTATTTTGATTTTTTTAATTTTCGACTTTTCGACTTCGATTCCTCGATCTTTCAAATTTTCGATTTCTCAATTTTCTTGTGTTTCAGTTTTACGATTTCTCAATATTTCGGCTCTTCAGTTTTTCGATTTTAAAATTTTTGAATTTTTCCATATTATAGTTTTGGGATTTTTCAATTTTCCATTCTTCAATTTTTCGTCTATTTATCAATTCGATTCTTCAGATTTTCGATTTTTCAATTTTCAAATGTTTCAGTTTTATCTTTTTCAATTTTTCGCCTTTCCGCATCTTCGTTTCTAAAATTTTTCTTCCATTTTTCAATTTTTCGATATTTCAATTTTGGTATTTTTCAATATTTCGATTCTTCAGTTTTTCGTTTCATCAAATTTTTGATTTCTCAATTTTTTCAGAGTTTTGGGGTTACACAATTTTTCGATTATTCAATTTTCCTTCCATTTATCAATTTTTCGATATTTCAGTTTTGAGATTTTTTAGTATTGCCATTCTTCTATTTTTCATTTTTTTCGATATTTTACAGTTTCTCAATTTTTTAACTTTTTTCGATTTTTCAAAATTATCAATTTAAAAATTTTAGATTTTTTAGTTTCACATTTTTTCGATTTTTTGATGTTTTGATTGCCCAATTTTGCATTTTTTCGATATTCTATTTTTTTTATTTTTAAAAGTTTAGATTTTTAGATTTCTGGATCTTTCAATTTTTTAGTTATTGGATATTTCTATTTTCAATTTTTCACATTTTTAAAATTTAGATTTTTCAGTATTGATGTTTCGATTTCTCGATTTTTCGACTTCTTGATTTTAGATTTTTCGGTTCTTCAATTCCATTTAAAATTTTTAATTTTTAGATTTTTTAATTTTTCGGTATTAAATTTATCGATTTTTCAGTTTATTGATTTTTTAATTTTTCAGTTTCTCGATTTTCAATATTTCCATATTTCAGTGTCAGGATTTTTCAGTTTTCCAATTCTTCAATTTCTCGACTCTTCGAATTTTCAATTTCTGATGTTTCTAAATTTTTAATTTTTTGATTTCTTAATTTCACGATTAATTGTTTTTTTGATTGTCCTATTTCTCAATTTTTTGAGTTTTAAATATTGCGAGTTTTCAGTTTTTCAATTCACCAATTTTCGATTCGTGGAGTTTCAGTATTTCGATTTTTCAAATTTTCGACATTTTGACTTCGATTCCTCTATTTTTCAAATTTTCAATTTCTCAATTTTCTTATGTTTCCGTTTAACGATTTCTCAGTATTTCGGCTCTTCAGTTTTGCGATTTTAAAATATTTCAATTTTTTTATGTTATACTTTTGGGATGTCCCAATTTTCGATTCTTCAATTTTTCATTTATTTATCAATTTTTCGATAATTTAGTTTTGGAATTTTTTAGTAGTTCGATTCTTCAATTTTTCAATTTTTCGACTTTTCCACTTTAATATTTCTCCATTTTTTAACTTCTTCGATTTTTCAGTTTTTCAATTTTAACATTTTAGATTTTTTAGTTTTTCAATTTTTCGATTTTTTTTCAAAAAAAAATTCCCGTTCTTTAAATTTTTCAGTTCTTCCATATTTCTATTTACAATTTTTTGAATTTTTATATTTTTTTGATGTTTCGATGTCTCGATTTTTCGATTTTTCAACTTCTTATTATTAGATTTTTGGGTTTTTTAATTTTTCCATTTGTAAAATTTTTAATTTTTAGATGTTTCAATTTTTCGATTTTAAATTTATCCGTTTTTCAGATTATCAATTTTTTAGTTTTACAGTTTCTGGATTTATCGAGATTTCGGTTTCTTGATTATTCAATTTCTCAATTTTTTTATTTTTTTAAATTTGAAATCTTTAAATTTTTCAATTATTAACATTCCGATTTTTCGATTTTGGCCTATTTGAATTTCTCAATTTTTCGATTTTGTGACGTCTCGATTTCTCGATCTTTTTATGTTTCGTTTTCTCGATGTTTCTTCAGTTTTTGAATTTTTCGATGCTAAGGTTTTTTAATATTCCGCCCATTTTTCAATTTTTCGATATTTCAATTTTGGTATTTTTCAGTATTTCGATTCTTCAAATTTTCGATTTTTCAAATTTTTGAATTTTCAATTTTTTTGTTTCAGTTTTACGATTTCTCAATATTTCGCCTCTTCAGTTTTTCAATTTTAAATTTTTTTAATTTTTCTATGTTATAGTTACTCAATTTTCCGATTATTCAATTTTCCTTCCATTCATCAATTTTTCGATAATTCAGTTTCTCAATTTTTCGATTTTTTGATGTTTTGATTTCCTAATTTTGCATTTTTTCGATGTTTTATTTTTTTAATTTTTAAAAGTTTGGATTTTTCGATTTCTCCATGTTTCAATTTTTTAGTTATTCGATATTTATATTACATTTGTAAAATTTTTAACTTTTAGATTTTTAAATTTGTCGATTTTCCATTCCAATTTATTGATTTTTTAATTTTTCAGTTTCTCAATTTATCGAGATTTTGATGTTTTGATTGCTCTTTAAATTTTTCAATTTTTAACTTGCGATTTTGGTCTACTTCGATTTCTCAATTTCTCAATTTTTCGACTTTTAAATGTTTCGAGTGTTAAGTTTTTCAATTCTTCAATTTTTCGATTTTTCAGCTTCTTGGATTTTCAGTTTTTCGATTTTTTTTAATTTTCGACTTTTCGTCTTCGTTTTCTCGATTTTTGAATTTTTCATATTTCAGATTCGAGATTTTTCAATTTTTCTATAGTTCAATTTTTCTTCCATTTTTCAATTTTTCGATATTTCAATTTTGGGATTTTTCAATATTTCGATTCTTCAATTTTTCAATTTTTTAAATTTTCGATTTCTCAGTTTTCTTATGGTTCAGTTTTACGATTTTTCAATTTTTCGCCACTTCAGTTTTTAGATTCTACATTTTTCAATTTTTGAATTTTTCAATCTTTCGGTGTTATAGTTTTCGGATTTTTAAATTTTTGGATTCTTCAATTTTTCTTCCATTCTTCATTTTTTTGATATTTCAGTTTTGGAATTATTTTCAATATTTGGATTCTTCAATTTTGTGATTTTTCGACTTTTCAATTTTACAATTTCTCCATTTGTTACTTTTTCGATTTTTCAGTTTTTTTAATTTTTAAATTTTAAATTTTTCAGTTTCTCAATTTTTCGAATTTGTTACGAAATCGAAACATCATTTCTCGATTTTTCATTTTTTCAATATCTATTTTAAGTTTTTCGATTTTTAAAATGATAGATTTTGCGTTTTCTCGATATTTCAAATTTGCAGTTATTCGATATTTCTACATATTTTAAAATTTTCGAATTTTTAAATTTTAGATTGTTTATTTTTTTTTGTTTCGATTTCTTGGTTTTAGATTTTTCTGTTTTTTTTAATGTTTCGGTTTTTAAATTTTTCGATTTTTCAGTATCTCGGTTTTTTAATTTTTCAGTTTCTCGATTTGTCGAGATTTCCATTTTTTGATTGTTCAATTTCTCCATTTTTTTTATTTGTTTTTATTTGAATTTTTAAAACTTTTTAATTTCTAACTTTTCGATTTAGCCCATTTCGAATTCTCAGTTTTTTGTTTTTGCGGTTTCTCGATTTCTCGATCCTTTGATGTTTCAGTTTTTGAATTTTTCGATGTTTCAATTTTTAAATTTTTTGGTTTTTGGATTTTTTAACTTTTCAGCTTTTCAATTTTCAAATATTTGGATGTTTCGATTTTTCAATTTTGCGATTTCCCAATTTTTCGATTTTCATACATTGGGTTTTTGAAGTTTCAAGTTTTTGATCTTTTGATATTTCGATTTCTTGGTTTTTAAATTTTTCGGTCCTTCAATTTTTCGATATTGTAATTTTTCACTCTTTTAAATTTTAGACTTTTCTATTTCCCGATATTTTTCAGTTTTTTGACATTTCTACTTTTCAATTTTTCGATTTTTTTTTTCGGATTTCGATTTTTTCGATTTTTAAAATTTTTCGCTTTTTAAGTATCTTGATTTGTCGAGATTTCGATTTTTTGATTGTTTAATTTCTCGATTTTTTGCTCAATTTCTCGATTTTTCGATTTTTTAATTTGAAATCTTTTTTAATTTTTAACTTTTCGATTTTGGGTTATTTCAATTTCTCAATTTTTTGAGTTTGCGGCTTCTCGATTTCTCGATTTTTAATGTTCCGATTCCTCGATGTTTCAGTTTTTGAATTTTTCGGTGTTTCGATTTTTAAATTTTTCGGTTTTTAGATTTTCAAATTTTTCGATGTTTTGATTTCTCAATTTTGCGATTTCCCAATTTTCCGATTTTTCAATTTTTGGATTTTTTAAATTTTGAATTTTTCAGTTTTTCTATTTTTAAACATTGGGTTTTTGAAGTTTTCAATTTTTCGTTTTTCTGATGTTTCGATTGCTTGATTTTTAAATTTTAGATTTTCGCGATTTTTCGTTTGTCGTTGTTTCAGTTCTGTTTTTTCTACTCTTCAATTTTTCGAATTTTTTAATTTTCCATCTTTCAATTTTTTGATGTTTCAATTTTCTGATATTTTGGTTTTCGATTTCTGGATGTTTCAATTTTACCTTCCACCGATTTTTTATTTGTGTCTATAGCCGTTTACTGAACAGGTGGAAATCACGCACTTTTTCAACTCCATCTGTTCGGTAAACGTGGTATAGTTCAGGTATGGCAAAAGTGGCGCATAAGCGTAAGGTTGAAATGAAAGTTTAGTGTTTTGAATAATGATATATTATCACTCAGCGTCTTTCCATATAATTTTTAAAAAACATTCCATTTAGCATAAACACAATAATACAAAATTACACAACAATACTTCAAGTATTAACAACATGACTATAAACTCAACGTGTGACGTCGCTCAGTCAACTTGCTAGACCCTGCTTATATACATACAAACTTTATAATATAAGCGTCATTTTGTTATACGTAACAACAATTTTTGTATTGGCATATGTCTAGAAAAATAACAGACTCTTGTGCTCCGTCATGTTTCTCAATTTAGCAACAATACAGAGTCTTAATGGTGACCAATCAAGTGTAACAATAAAAATCCAATTTCCCCGAAGAACATTAACAGCTATTTCGGTGCTATAACGGTTAAAGTGCTATGGACATAATAAATGTTAAGATAGACACGCATAAATCGAGATTATAACTAGTACACAAGCAATGAAAAGCACAGACAGAAAACTCCATGTAGATGCGAGACTCTCCCGAAATTCGAAGCTTGGAAATGTAAACTGGAAACGTCAATCCACAAATGCTTATGTACACACCTTCAGTATAAAATCATAAAAAATTTAATCGTAGTAGCTCATGATCCCTTAATGTGTAGTATAGGGGGCGCTGCCCCCGTTTTTGATTTTATTTTCAAACATTTCGCTTAGGAACTTATACTTAAAAGAAACTAGACTTCTGGAGCGGCTCGTGACCTTGTTTTTACAGTTGATTCGGCGATTTAGCCTCAATACTTACTGTATCACAATACGCAGAAGTTCTATTTACTATTTACAGAAATTCACTAATGCATTGTTGGGCATAACGATATTGTCGAAATTATAAAATACCAACTCAAACGACATACAAAGTACTAACATTAAACTACGCTAGAGTCTAGTCGTGCTAGGTATACCTTGTTGACCAACGATATGGGGCGGTGGGGCGCGCGCGCGCGCTATCATCAAATGTCAAACGTCAACTGTCAACTGTCAATTCCAAAGAGCCCCACTCCGCTTTCGCACCCAGAGAACCACTTCTCTGTCAAACGGATGGTGGTCTTAGTACAAAATGACATTAACAACTATAGTTATGTACATTGGTACCCGCAATGTTCTTGTTTCTCGTGATAATGACAACTGAAGACATCTGGTTACTGTGGTTACAAACAAGGGCAAAACGAACGAAAAACAGTTCCTCTAGATACTATATGTATGAAGACATCTGAGATGGGACGGTTTTCTAACTGCCGGTTACATGATATAAAACATCCAGAGTAAAATTCGTTATTTGTTGATATTGTGCGGTTACAAACTACTACATAGGTCTAGGTAGATCACTCGTATTATCACTGGTACACCAGTTTACAACGACGAATGAATTGGGGGCTGCCCACTCGACTAGCGTAGGAAAAGCTTTAACACTCTAGTGGTCTCCCAGACACTTACTTCCTTCCAACTATTTTACTTTGCTCCTCAGATATATTACAAGGTAACAAAATCTGATCCTCAGCTCTCTCTCTCTCTCTCTCTCTATTGGCGTGAGTTGGAAAGAGGTGAAGCGACTGGGTGCAGATCCGCACTTCGCGGACCGTTGCAAAACATATATATATATATATTTTTTTTGGAAACATTTCTCTATCTTTTCGTTTCTAAAATCCTCAGTAAAAAGCACAACCCCTGTTTTGAATAACAATCCCATCTGCACCTCGCCTCACCCCCTTATCACAAGAAACACGCCCCTAAATCACCTTTTATCACTCCTAAAAGCATTTTTATATCTTGGAGCACTTCATGAGCACGCATAAATCTCCCCCCGTTTGAATTCCTCCCCAGCCTTCACACGTTAGTCGATCCGCAACCCGCTGACCCCGCAGTAAATTCGACCCTTTCATCGTGCCCTTGGCCCTCGGTCCTTACGAGACGATGCACTCCTCCACCCCGTTGTGAGCGTCCCTGATCTGCTGCTTGGTCTTCCTGCTGGCCCGCCGGATGAGGGAGCGCGATCTGGGCTTGGACAGGCCCTCGCGGACTTCGGACGAGCCGGCCTGCTTGTCCTTCTCGGGGGCGGGACTCGCCGCCCTGCGGCCGCCCTTGCTCGCCGAGACGTACGCGCTGGATCGACGTTTCAAGCCGCTGGAATCTTCGGTATCTCGAGGAAATATCCGAGACAGCGTCAGAAACGAACGGAATATTTCCTTGATGTTGATGTCGTCCTTTGCGGAGCACTCGAGGACCTTCACCCTGCGGAAAAGGGAGGGGTTAATGGTGACGTGGCGAACATGTGATCAAGAATATTGTAAAATGGTTTCTAGAAAGTTTGGGGGTTGATTTCGGCAAGGCGTAGCTTTGTCGTATTTTTTTTAATATAATAAAGAGATTATTTTTGTTTTGTTATATTTCTGGTTTCTTGTTTTATTTACAAAGAGCATTTGTAGCAAAAAATGCGCGAAACGCGTGCATCTCGAGTGTAAGTGTATGTTTTCTCGTCCTTTTATGACCCCTAGAGTACGAAAAAATAGGTCCCCCATTTCTGCCCGTCTGTCTGTCTGCGGTCTCTGCGGATTTTTGTTAAACAGATAATCTTCGAATCCACTCGACCAATTACAAACAACAGCAAATTTGTTTTTAATTTTATAAAATAAGACATCTCTGCACTTGTGATCAAAATTTATTTCCAAAAAATTGATGAAGTCCTCTTAAAATTTTGCCAAATAAATCCTCTTCTTGACATTTGTTTTAATACTATATACATATTTTTATTTCAACTTATAAGGGTTATCATAAAAAAAATAAATTTCCAAAATCAAATGTTACAATTTTTGGTTTTTTCATTTTCTCTCATTTTGAATTTTTCTATTTTTCAATGCTTCGGTTTCATAGTTTTTCGTTTCTTTGGTTTTCAGTTTTTCACTTTTCGATTTTTCTGTTTCTCAGGTTGTAATTTTTAGATTTTTCAGTTCTTCGTTTCCTCAAAATTCTTCGTTTTTTCATTTCCTTATTTTTTCAATGTTTCTTTCGATTTTATAATTTTTAGTTTGTTCAATTTTTCAAATTTCGCCTTTTTCATTTTTCAATTCTTCGATTTTCCATTTTTTCAATTTTGCAATTCATATTTCGTTTATTCGATTTCGAACTTTTTCGATTATTGAATTTTAATTTTTTTTTTCAATTTCGCGATTTTCAAATTTTTGGATTTTGAAATTTTTGCATTTCCAGTTATTCGGTTTTCCGATTTCTTTAATTTTCATATGTCGTTTTTTCGATTTTTGAATTTTTCGTTTCTTTAATTTTTCAAATTCTTGATTTAAAATTTTTACGTTTTTCAAAGTTTTCGTTTCATATTTTTTCGTTTTTTGAATTTTTGATTTTTCCATTTTTTTGATTTGAAGTTGAAAAATCGAAAAATTACAAAATCGAAAAACCAAACATTTTAAAAATCGAAACCCGAAAAGTAGAAATGACCGTGCAATCGAAATATCAAATCATCGACAGATTAATAAAATATCGAAAAACTGAAAAATCCAGAAATTGAAAAATTTTGAAAATTCAAATGTTGAACAACTCAAAAATCTAAAACCTGAAAAATTGGGGAGTCTAAAAAATGGAAAAGTAGAAAGATTTTAAAAAGCGAGAAACTGAAAAAATAGAAACAGGTATTGAATGATAAATGCAAAAATCTAAAATTTTAAAATCTAAAAATTGAAAAATCGAATAGCCGCGAAATCGAGAAACTTCTAAAAATTCAAAAAGTGAATCATCGAGGAATCGAAACATCTAAAGTTTGAGAAATGGAGAACTCGAAAAGTCAAGAAGTCAAAAAATCGAAAAACTCAAATTTCGAAAACTGAAAAATCCAGAAATTGGAAAATTTTCAAATTTGGAATGTCGAAATCAAATCAAATCGAAAAATTGAAAAATCTAGAAACTGAAGAAACGAAAAATTGTAAAATCCAAAACTTAAAAACTCGAAGAACTGAAGAAACAAAAAATTGAAATATTGAGAAACCAAAAATCAAGAAACTCAAAATCGAAAAAAAAAATGAATCGAAAAATTGGAAAATCCAAAAACTCTAAAAACGAAAAATTATAGAATCGTCAAAATTGTAAAGCTGAAAAACCGTAACATTAAAAAACGAACGATCAAAAATTTAAGAAAACCAAATCCGAAAAGTCGAAAATCGAAAGCAATTGAAACATCAAAACATCGAAAAATTAAAATATTGAAAAACTGAAAAATCCACAAATTGGAAAAAGTTTGGAATCTCGAACGATTGAGAAATCGAAAACTTGAAAAGTCGAGGAGTTTAAAGATGGAGAATTAGAAAAATTTTGAAAATCGACAAACCAAAATGTCAAATCGAAAAATTGAAAAATCAAAAATTAAGGAATCGAAGAACTGAAGAAACAAACAAAAAATTTAAATATTGAAAATCTAAAAACTGAGAAACTCAAAATCGAAAAAAAAAATCGAAAAATTCGAAAATCGAAAAACTATAGAATCCTCAAAATTGTAAAGATAAAGCAAAAATTTTAAAAGCCCAAATCCGAAAAGTCCAAAAATCGAAAGCAATCGGAACATCAGAAAATCGAAAAATTCAAAAATTTCAAATTAAAAATTTAAAAATCGAAAAATTCAAAAATCGGAAAGTCGAAAAATTGAAAAGCCGAGAAATCGAAAAATCAAAAATCCAAAATTAAAAAATTCGAAGGAAACGTCGAAAAATTCAAAAACTGAAACTTCGAAAAATCGAAATATGAAAAGATCGAGAAATCGAGAACTCGGAAGTTGAGATATCGGAAAATCGAAAAATTGAAAAGTGAAAATTTGAAATATTCAACAATCAGAAAATGAAAACATCGAAATCTCGACAAATAGACACTACGAAAAATTAGAAAATCGAAAAATTGAAAAAATGAAAGATTTAAAAATCTAAAAATCGAAAACTCGAAAAATCTAGAAATCAAAATACCAAAAAACTGAAAAATAAAAAATTTGAAAATTCGAAAAACAAAAAAAAAAAAATTTAATAATGTAAAATTTAAAAATCAAAAAATTGAAAAATCGGAATGTCGAAAAATTGAAAAACTGAAACATCTGAAAATCGAAATATCAAAAGACCGAGAAATCGAGAACTCGGAAGTCAGGATGTCGAAAAATCGAAAAATCGGGAAATCGAAATACGCCAAAATCGAAAAATTGAAAAGTGAAAATTCGAAAAATTGAGAAAAAAAAAATTAAAAATTTAAAAATCGAAAGTTTAAAAAACGAAAAATTGAAAAATCGAAAAGCCGAGAAATCGGGTAATCAAAATTCCAAAATTAAAAATTTCCAAGAAATATCGAAAAATTAAAAACTGAAACATCGAAAAATCGAAATATCAAGATCGAGAAATCGAGAACTCGGAAGCCGAGATGTCGAAAAATCGAAAAATTGGTAAATTGAAATACGCCAAAATCGAAAAACTGAAAAGTCAAAATCCGAAAAATCGAACAATCAGCAAATGAAAACATCGAAATGTCGACAAAAAGACATTACGAAGAATTAAAAAATCGAAAAATTTAAGAACGTAAAAATTGAAAACTCGAAAGATCTAGAAATCAAAACATCAAAAAACTAAAAAATCAAAAATTTAAAAATTCGAAAAACAAAAAAAAATTAAAAAATTAAAAAATGTGACATTTAAAATCGAAAAATTGAAAAATCGGAAAGTCGAAAAATAGAAAAGCCGCGAAATCGAAAATCCAAAATTTAAAAAATTAAAGAAACATCGAAAAGATTGAGAAACCGAGAAAATCGAAAAATGGAATTTTAAAAATTGATAAAAATTAAAATATCGAGAAAATGAAAAATAGGAAAATCGAAACATCAAAAATCGAAAAATTTAAAAACCGAAAAATCTAAAATATGAAAATCGAAAAATTAAAAAATTGAAAAGGCTGAAAGTAGAGAAATTGTGAAATTAAAAATCGAAAAATTGAAAAATACAATAAGTGAAATGTTTTTTAAAATTATAGGAATAATTGTTATTAACATTTAAAATCAAAACTAGAAATATTTAATATTGAAAAATCGAAAACCGAAAAGTTGCAAATGGAAAAAGTGAAAAATCCGAATATTGAAAAATTTGAGATTGAAAAAAGAAACATTATAAAATTGAAATACTGAAAATTGGAAAAATCGGAGAACCAAGGAAATCGAAAAATTGACGAAACGAAAAATTGAAAGATTCAAACGTTGGAAAATTGTAAAACTGAAAAATTTAAACTTGAAAACTCGAAAAATTACAAATCGAAAAACCGAAGAACCAAAAAAGAATAAAAATTTGAAAAATTCAAAGAAGCGTGATTTATTAGGCTGCACTTCAGGGGTGAGGAAAGTTCTGTCGAACTACCCTTCGATCAATTTTTCGTTTAAGTAGGGTGCAAGACTTTGTAATTTCTGTTAAAATTGGTTCTTTATTAACAACCTAAGAAAGAGTGCACTGACTTTAATTTTTGGTGGTGAGTGTAAATCTTAATTATCCAGCACGTGGATGGTGTTAAGGCGGCACTTTTCCCCTAAAAGCCAGAAACGGCGATAAACAACCCGAACCCACGGCTTTGTCTAGCCCTTCGGCTGCGAAAGAAACCGCCGGCATCCCCCAAAATTTGACGCATGGCCCTATATATCTAAATGCCGAGGACGAAATTCGCAGAATTCGGCAAACACGAGCCTAAATTAAACCTTCTCGTTATCCATAACAAGCTGAATCCCATTAGCTGGAGCCACCCCAACCCAAAAAATCCTCTATACGTTTCCGCACACTTCCGCCCCCATAAACGTGAAACAAGGACCAAAGTTCTGTTAATTATAATAAGGGGTTGCGTCAACTCCGAGCAAACATGTAAGTTTATGAGGGCGAATTTTTGCATTCGTCCTTTTTAATCTCTGCACGAAAAAAGGGTTGAAGGTTGCTAATCCCGAAAAAATGTGAGAATAAGAACGTCCGGGATTAAAGTGATGGCTCATTTTAAGCCTTATCCGCTGGATCTGGAATTACACCCTTCCAAATCGGGATCAAAGGGTGCTCCGTAATGGATCGAAATGGGGGGATGTAAACAGGATCGGGCTTTCAGGTGGACGTTTTTTAATTTTGAATTGCCAGATAAACACTTTGATGTTGCGAGATTATTTTTAACTTCCTGGAGGAGTGCTTATGAAGCGTACAGTTTTAGGATATTTCGTTATTATTTCTATCATT